ACAAACCTTAAGAACAATAAAACTAGGTCTTTCTGTTCCTCAATGATTGGTCACAGTACGAGTGATAGAACAGTTCATCATTTACAATCACAGTCAGAAAGAAGAACAGATTATAAAGTCTAAATCTATATTGATTAACAGATGACGCATGATGAATGCATGAAGTACAAAATGCCTCGATAACAGTTTATCCAGCCAGCAGCCGAGTAAAAATATCAGATATTAATGGAGGTCACTGATGTGATTACAGAAGCAGTCACATTAAGACAAAGATTAGTTGAACACTGATGACATTTGGTAGTTGTTTCCCTTTTTGGCTGTATGTTACATGTTAATTACTGATACTTAAAAATATATTATTGTCCCACTATCATTATTTATATTGAATCTCCATTTGTATTGGCGCCACATCAGAGTATTTTTACTTCTTTAGTGCAAAAATGAGGGTAGTCAACACTGTGACCATATGGAAATTGGGGAGTGGTGGCGCAGAGGTTAGAGAAGATGGGCCTGTGATCGCAAAGTCGCAGGTTCATCTCCCCAGACTGACAACATCAAAATGCGGGTGGAAAAGGTGAAATACCCACACCTGCCTCCACCCTTATTTGCCCCACTCTGGGCCCTTGATCAAGGCCCCCCATCATCTGCTCCCAAACAGGTCTCTCTTGAAAATGAGTTCTTATGACTCAATGAGACTACCTGTATAAATAAAGGGTAAATAAAATGTATTTAATGGTTTATTTTTCTTCCTTAGATTATGAGCACAGTTGTTGATGGTCTTCATGGTAACCCAAAAGACTAGTTAGCTCTCAAACAACAACAATAAATAGCCTTTGCTTCACTCATATTGCTTCTGTTTGTTTCTTTTCAAATATTACTAAACATAACTATTTAAAATCATTAGAAAAAAAAGAATAAAATTGCCAGCCAGTAATTGCACTTCTGTTTTTTTTTTCACCTTCACCAACAAAAAGACTTGTTGGGTTGTTGACCCAACAGGTGTGGATTTTGAGTCAATCTGTAAAATCTGTTGGCTCCTCAGATAAATAACCTGATTTAGTGACTTTTTTTTGTATATGCATGTTTCTGTACCCTGAGATGACTTCTGCTGTGATTTGGTGCTATATAAATAAACTGAATTAAATTTAAAATGGACCTATAATTCAACTGCTAAACAAACCTTTTTCTTTCTTTCCCTTGTGCACTTGGAAACAACTCTTATCTGCATGCAAACTTACAACAAAGCAACAAAAAGTTAAGTCAAAGTTGTAAATAAGCATAATTTTTAGTTGCTTTTACTTAATTTGCATTAAAATTCCTGCTAATTTACAAAAAAAAAAACCAACATCCATGCTGTTACACTGGGTATATTTCTGTCATATTCCAGTGTAATCATGTTCTCTTGGACAGCAAAGTTTAAATAATCAAGGAAATAATCATCCTCCCTCCCTTTTATCACTATCCCATCAAACTTTCCCCTCCATTAAAAAAAATAAATACAAACCATCTCCTCCCATCTAAATAAAACCATTTATGCTTTCCCCTCCTCGGTGAGTGCTCCACTCTCATGTTTCTGATGCAGCAGCATCGACAGGAGGAGCAGATAACAGCCTGACTGTGGTGTTTTGGCAGCTTTGCAATCAGAGGAGGCTGTTTGTTACGAGTGGAAAATGCTCGTCAGCTTTTACTGAACCACACACTTCAACATCCGTGTTGCTTTAACCATGAAACGTCTTGCTCCCCCGACATCTTCAAAGCCTTCTGACAGATTTTGGACGTAACGTTGCTGTTTTGATTTCCCATATCAGACGTTCGGCAACTCAAAGACGTGACAACCCAGGCTGCGACAGTTCGAGGCGAAGAAAGGAGCTCGCTTCATTAACTAGTGGCCTCTTTGCTCTTTGTCTCTCGGCCTATTGAACTCAACATGGTGCTCCAGGCCTCTCGAGCTGCAGGCTGAGATTCTTCTTGGACGAAAAGAGGCCGAGCGTGACTAATGCAGGGACCTGGTGATGCTGTTGCGCGTTGGCGATACGGCACGGCCTGCTGCTGCTGCATACGGGGCAGCACAATAACCTTAGTCGCCGCCGCCCCTCCCTGTCTGGCACACCCTCCCCCCATACCACCACACCCCCTCATTCATCCATGGCAGATCTTTTCAGCAGGTCATTTAGAGGGCCAATAAGGAAGAGAACTCATTCTGCCGCTAAGAAATGTGCAGTGTCAGAAAAAGGGAGAAGGAAGGAGGGATAGTGGGGGTGGGATTCCAAGAGGGCTTAAGATCTCTTCAATAAAGGAGTTCTGCTGTTTTGAATATGCTGAAAATGTATTCCCTCAGCCCATGAAAAGAGAAAAGTGAGACACGAGGTAGCATGTCTTATGAGCTTTTTACCTAATTGTTGCACAAATGGAATCAGAAGCAAAGTGAATCAAATGGATCAGCATTTCCAAGAACCAGCAGTTATTAGACAGTACAGGAGCTGATTCTCCAAGAAGAACCGTTGCTGATGAAACATGAAGCTAAACCGTGACCGTAAGATTACAATTATATTGTAGAGTTTCATGGTTTATTTCAAATTGGATCATTTACATCAGAGAAAAAATGCACTTAAAGCAGAGAAAAAAAAATATATAGGCAAGTTTACAGTTTGTTCTAAATACATTTTTACAGAGATATGCCATCTATAGTTAGTAGGAGAGACCATATTTCTCCAGTTTTAGCTTCTCTCCATTGGCTCCCTGTCAAATTCACAATAGAACTTTACTTCTAACCTACAAAGTCCTCAACAACCTAGCTCCATCTTATATTTGAGATCTTGTTGTTCCATATTTTTCTAACAGAACACTTTGCTCTCAGACTGCAGGTTTCCTTGCGTTTCCTAGAGTTTCCAAAAGCAGAATGTGAGGAAGATCTTTCAGTTATCAGGCTCCTCTCTTGTGGAACCAACTTCCAGTTTCTGTCCATGAGGCTGACACATTGTCCAGTTTTAAGACTGGGATTAAGACTTTCCTTTCTGATAAATCCTATAGTTAGGGTTGGCTTGTTATCTGCTATAGGCTTAGACTACTGGAGGACAAAATGACATAATTTCTTATAATGAATTGTTGCAATTGAATAGTTTTCATTTGATACTATTTCTATCTTAACACGTGATTCTTGACCTGCCATTGTGTATCTGTTCCTCTCAAACCCAGCCGGTCGAAGCAGCTTGTCCTGAGCCTGGTTCTGCTATAAGTTTCTTCCTCACAAGGGAGATTTTCCTTTCCACTGTCTCCTTCATGCTCGCTCAAGATGAGAGTTCTGTGATGGAGTTAAACTCAAAGCAGTCTGCTCCTCAGATAAATAATGTTAAATTATTATTTTTTATATATGAATATTTCTGTTCAGTGCCTTGAGACGACTTCTGTTGTGACTTGGTGCTATATAAATGAACTGAACTGAATTGAATTAAGCCTGCCCAAATCTGATGAATAAACACAGATTAAAACCTTCACAGAAACATGCATTTATTTCCAAACATTGCAAAACAGGGAGATTATATTGATGCAAATGTGACTGATAATGAAATATTCTTGGAGCGCAATGCATTGCAATTATTTCACTAAAATAAAGTCAGTCCAGTCATACCAGGTAAGTCATTATAGAGCCCTCGTTATAGATCCATATTTGCCTGCAGCACACACTCCCCACGTGGCTGAGCATGTGTTTGTATGATTGTAGAGGGGACTGCTGGCAGGGTGATAAATGAGGAGCAGTGGGTCTGAGCTGGAGACGTCCAAACTGCTGCAGCCTGCAGCCTACAAACCTCTTTTACGGCTCCTAAACTAAGCTACGACAAAAATACAAACAGATGCCACAAACACCTGCAGTCTTCACACATTAACAGCCTTCAAGACTAACTTTATAATCACACAAAACCATCTCAACATCTCCCAATTATTCCCACGGACCGCTCCAGCAGACACTCTGCAAACTCTAGTGGAGCACCTCGTTTTCCAGCGAAACGCTAACTGACCCCCCCAAAAATCCGCCAGAGTTTTATGGGAGCGCCACTGCTGAGAGTGCAGAACAAAGCCACACACCGAACGCTTCAAACAAGGATGCAGGATGCTGCGTAATCCAGCCCAGATGTTCCCCACAGCTCATCTAATAAATGCAAGAAAGAGAAATAAATGCAACCACTCCTCACATCTGAGGCTGTGTAGGAGCTGCTGGGACATTTTTGCAAGGGAGTCCCTGAAGATGTGCTGATAGAGGAACAAGGGTCAGTGCATGAGAAAAACAACCTGTCCTACTTAAAGCATCTCTTATATGATTTTTTTTAAACTGATGCTGTACTCTAAAACTTGCAATAAGTGTGAACAAAAATGCTTGTTCTTGTGTCCCACAAGAAAAAAAACATCCCTGCAACTCTGTGGCTTGCACACACACACAAGTTTAATTTAGTCTCTGTCAGCGGACGAACATTCCTCCAACCATATCTGATATGTGGGAAACATTCACTGACAGCAACAAAAGCAATGAGATGAGCTGTGTGAGCAGAGTCTGTGCTGGCACGAATTGATCACTCCGTCTCCCTGACATGGCCCACGATCTGAGATTAGAGATGACTTCTGGTGCTTTCAGTTTCATCCTTTGTGGTGAAACACAAAAGCACATGAAAAGAGGTGCACCTGAATGGAACATCTTTTTCTGAATAGCATGGGGCATTTACATGATGTCAAAGGTCACAGGTGGAAGAAGCCTGACCAGCTTGAAGGCTTTCCACTTCAACCTTGCAGTGGTTGTGAAATATGATAATGAGATGAAGAACAGCCTTTGATCTAGATAAAGATCATTTTGTAGGTCATTTCCTAAAAATAAAAGCCTCAGGGGGGTCCACTATTTTCCTTCTTATGCACATATTGATGCTTTCTGGAACCGTTTTTACGCACAAAAAGCCACTTTTTTTGCCTTGAATGTTGCTGAAGTCATGTAAGGCATGGATCCAAACACTCACCCTCACCGGATGGAAGCTCGACGTCCACACTCCACACAGACAGCAAACACAAAACAACTCCAAGCAGCAGGTCGAACGTCTTCACAGCGGCCATATCCAAGTTTGGATCTGTCCTCCCAGAACCCCTCAGGCTTTCAGAGTCCTTGTTTCACCTGCACCCAGCCGCGCTTCTTCCCCGGAGAGGAAGTCCAGAACTCTCCAGCCGCTCCTGCGCTGCACCGACTGACTGAGCTGGTGTGTTTTTGTCTCCAGCGCGCGCCTCTCTGTGCGCGCTGCTGCGCCTCCAAACAGATGGATGTCAGGAGAAGGAAGAGTTCACCGCGTAAAGGCGCACCTCAGCCCCACATCCTGCGCCCTCATCCACACTGATCCGAGGTGAGGAAGAAGGTGAAGAAAACCGTGCACTCCCACCGTCATCAGCTCCTCTGAGCCAATGGCTTTGATGCTCCCTGCGTGCACACAACACTGCAAGGGTCACGCGCTGATTTCATTCTAATCAAGCTGTTTTCACAGATTGCGTCAGGAGGAGGATTTTAAATTCTCGCTTTTGATTGTCTGAACTTTAATGAGAGGTGATTTAGTTTTTGCTTTGGTTTTGAATTTTGTTTAAGTAGGTTACATTTAATTTTTTTATGTCTGTTTGTTTAAAAAAAAAAAAGAGTATGTACTTTTATCTCACTTTTCCTGTACAGAAGTCAGCTGACTGGACTTTTAGAGCGCCCTCTTCAGGTGATAAATAGAAGCTCAGGGAGCTTTACTTTTATTTATCTTCTGCTCCTTTTTTATTAATTATCTATAAAAACCTGCGACTTTAATCAGTTTTATGTCTCAAAGCGTCTTCCACTTTTCAATCCCCAACCTATACTGCATTTATAAATTAAATTAAGGTTTACCTGTTTTAGTTGGATTTTTGGTCAATTTTTTAAAATTTAACCCATGAATTTCCATCTACCCGCACTCTTCTGATTAAAAGCATATTTTTTAAATGGTTTTTCGCTTGATTAAAAACAAAGTTCAGATCATTTGCAGACTTAAATTACTTTCATAAAAAGTTCACTGTATGACAAACAGGGTTGATTAGAAATTCTAATTAGTTTTTCAAACAGTTTTCAAGAACTTTGACTCAAATTGAAATGTTTAGATATGAAAGCACTCATATGAAATATTTTTTTTGCTATACACTAAAACATATTAAATATTAACTTTAAAGCAACTGCTAAACACATACAAAATGTATGAAGTTGCAAAAAAAATCTAGTCAATCCATTTTATTTAGGGTAAAAGTATTCTGCCCTTAAAAGCAAAAAAACTTTACAAGAATATATTGCAAAGTCATTTATTAGTGAAACTTTAGAGGCAAATATTTGCCTCATTGCAGCCATTGGTTCATTGTAAACTTGAAAATGTCTCACAGGATTTTTTTTCCTACTTCTTCTTCGACCCTGAGCTAACATTTGTTCTGAACAGGAAGGAGAACTTGGACCACATACTTGTTCCAATTAAAACATTCTCTGAGGGAATTCAGGAGCTTCATTATAGCCATGGAAAAAAGCATTTAAAGAAACAAAATTCTTGCAAAAAAGACATTTTGTAATATATAAGGTGGATGTCAGTGATGTTTTTACTAAAGTTTCCTGGAAATAAGTGACAGACTTTCAATATTTCAGAGAAAATCTTTTGTAAATGCCAAGTGAGGCCACTAAAGAAAGCCTGACTGATCATTACAAATACCTTATACCTTCATTATACCTCATACACCTTCATTATACCTCATACACATTCATTATAACTCATACACCTTCATTATACCTCATATACCTTCATTATACCATACACCTTCATTATACCACATATACCTTGATTATACCACACATATCTTCATTATACCTCATATACCTTCATTATACCACAAATACCTTCATTATACCACAAATACCTTCATTATACCACATATACCTTCGTTATACCTTATATACCTTCATTATACCTCAAGTATCTTTATTATACCTCATATTTCATTATACCTCATATATTTTATATACTTCATGTACCTTCATTATACCTCGTATACCTTCTATATACCTCACCTTCATTATACCTCATATACCTTCATTATACCTAATAAACCTTCATTATACCTCATGTACCTTCGTTATACCTCATATACCTTCATTATACCTCATATACCTTCATTATACCTGATATACCTTCATTATACCTAATATACCTTTCTTATACCTCATATACCTTCATTATACCTCATGTACCTTCATTATACC